GGGGTTCCTAAGACCATGGGAGGAAAACACAAATATTTACATTATGATTGATAACCGTAGTAAAATTGCAGGTATGGAGTAGTAGCTTAAATAATTTTACGGTTGGGAGTCACAACACAAGGAACTGTGGTAAACGGCCGCAGTGTCAGGAAGGCTGAGAACCACTGAGCCAGGAAGTTGTCGCTTCAGTTCCTCGATTCTATCCCACACCTTTTGTGTGCTTTTACAAGCATGGTAATTGTATCAAAGTGGGAGGTAACAAAAAAAAAAAAAGTAGGGGAAAAGAAAGGGAGGGTGGGATGTGGTTCACCTGGTAAAGTGCTGTGTAGAGCAAGCCCCAGGGACCAGCGCTTAGTCCTTACAACCCACACAAAAATCCCCGGATCCCTGAGGCTGTCTGGCCAGCCTCACACAAGGCAGAACAGTGCAGAGTTTCTCTCTGAGTCTCTCCTAGGCGCCTAACAAAAAGGCGTCTGCAGAGTGTGGAGGTCAGCCCCTGGCTCCACACTGACACCAACACGTGCACTCACGAGCAGAGACACACACAAGCTGCATGTGCAATTCAGTTTTAAACATTTTAAAGGCTTGGAACCGGAGAGACGGCTTATCAGTTGATAGCACTGGCTGCTCTTGCAGAGAGCCGGGTTCCTTTCCCAGCCTTGTGATGACTCAGCCACCTCTAACTCAGGGTCCAGGGGATCCAGTGCCTTCTGACAGCTGAGGGCACCAGCCATGCATATGGTGCACAAATATACATGCAGGCAAAGCACCCATACACTAAAGGAAATAAAATCTTAAAAGAAACAAAAACCACCTTTAAATTAAAAAAAAAAATCTGGGCTGGACAGTGGTGGTGCACACCTTTAATTCCAGAACTAGGGAGGCAGAGACAGGTGGATTTCTGTGAGTTTGTGGCCAGCCTGGCTCCAAGGCTACACAGAGAAACTCTGTCTCGAAAAACCAAATAAATAAATACATAAATAAATAAAATAAAATAAATCTGGTATGGCTTAGCAGTTAAGAGCACTAACTGCTCTTTCAGAGAACCTAGGTTCAGCTCTCACCTGGCAGCTCATAACTATCTGTAACTTCAAATCCAAGGGATCCAATGTCCTCCTCTGGCCTCTGTGGGCACCAAGCACACAAGTGATACACAGACATACATGCAGGCAAAACACCCATATGTATAAAATAAAAAACTAAAACTAAAAAAAATATTATAAATTTTAATTTATTGTACGTGTGCATGCCTGCTTGTCTGTATGTAAATTGAGAGTATGCTGGTGCCCTCATAGGCCAGGAGAGGGCATCAGAACCCTTGGGATTTCCTGCCTTAGCTGATCCAGCAGCTGGGCCAACAGGCCTGTGCCATCACACTCATTCTGAAGGAAACTGGAGGTCTGAACCAACACTGGCTCCTGAGCCACGTTGAAACCTGTCGCCTCCTGCAGTTACTCTGAGATGAGTCCAGGGCATTCACAGGCGTGCTACCCTAAAGAACAAAACTATCTTGTTTTCTCTTTCTTCTTTTGCTACTTTTTTTGCTACATTTTATTTATTTATGGGGGGGGCACAGATTATGGGGGGGGGCACAGAATGCTACAGTGCACATGTGGAGGCCAGAGGACAACATGCAAGAGCCGCATCTCTCCTCCTTCCATGAGGGTCCCAGGGATCAATCTCAGATCATCAGGCTTGGTGGCAATCGCTTTTACCTGCTGAGCCATCTCTCCAGCCCTGAACTTTGCTCTGAAATTGTGATATTCTGATTTTGTGATAGGCCGAGCTGTCTACGTCAAACTAGTAAATTATAATGCATGCGGATGCCACGAGCCTCTTGAACTCAATATCCACGGCTACTGTAATGTGTGCGCCTCCTCAGGGTTCTTAAAACTTTAATCAGTGATACGGCCAAAGGCTATCTCCTGCCCTTGGCAGTGCTGTGTAGGTTTCTTCTTTGTTTGTGCTCTACTTAGCGTTCTATTGCTGTGAAGAGAGACAGTGACCAAGGCAACTCTTACGTTTAATTGGGTGCTTGCTTACAGTTGCAGAACTTGATTCCATTTTCATCATGGCAGGGGCATGTGTGCCCGCAGTAGCTGAGAGCTGGCAGGTGTGGGGGCATGGAGAGGGGTGAGAGTTGGGGGGTGGGCAGGGGGGTAAGAAGGGGGGGGGAAGGAGGGAAGGGAATGAAGGAAACAGATGTTCTGTTGCCCAGGCTGCCCTTGAATTTGATCTACTGTATCCACTCCCCTAGCCATGTGGGTAGCTTTGCTTCCCTTCCCACGTTTGTCCTTTTACCTCCTTAGGTCTCGATAAGATTCCCCGCACACCTGTAGGCTATTCACAGACCTTGCTGGGTGATATTCCGCAGGGCAAATGTTTCATAATATTACAAAAATACCTTGCCAGGCAGTGGTGTTACACACCTTGGGAGGCAGAGGGAGGTAGATCTGAGTTCAAGGACAGCCTGCTCTATGTAGTGAGTGAGTTCCAAGACAGCCAGGGCTACACAGACAAGTCCTGTCTCAAAACACCAGATCAAACCAAACAAAACCTTCCGCTCTCCCATTATTACCAGATATCTGGACTATTTCCACTTTTGTATTTAAACGGTGCTACTGTAAACATCACTGGGCACATCTACAGGGACTTCTAGGTACCCATGGTGTGAAATGGAAATTTTTACTATGTAGTTTTCCAAAGTGATTACACAACAAAGCTCTTCAAACTTGCTCTCTACACTTAGGTCCTGCAATATCTCAGCCACCCTCTCCCAGCAAGCCACCCTCTTAGCGCACTGTGGATGGGCAGGCTGTGTCTGTGTTTATTTAACCAGTCTCCTAACAGGCTCTTTAGGTGGCTTCTGCACATGCGTGTGTACATATGTGCATGTTCACACGTGTATGGAAGTCAAAGGTGAGTCTCCAATGTTGTTCTCTCATGGACCTGGAAGGCCCAGCTAGGACAAACCAGACAGAGGGATCTCCCTGTCTTCACACCCCCAGAGTAATCCCAGAGCTGGGACTACAGACACATGACCGCAACAGGCGGTGGTGGTGCACACCTTTAATCCCAGCCCTCGGAAGGAGAAGCAGGTAGATCCCTGTGAGTGTGAGGCCAGCCTGGTCTACAGAGCGAGTTCTAGGACAGCTAGGGCTACACAGTGAGACTCTGTCTTGAAAAACCAAAACCAAACCAAAACAGCAACAAAAGCAAACGCACAACATCGCGTCTGGCAACAAAAGCAAAC